ATAAGTCATCTATAAGGGGAGCCTTATTGTAAAGTGGTACAAAAAAACTTGCACCGTAAATTCTCCTTACCAATTTTTCATACATTTTACTGAACATAGATAAAATATTCTCAAGCTCACATGAGAAAATCCAGCCATCATTTGTCAGTTGAAATACCTTTTTTGCAAGATTTTTCAAATTTTCTTAAGAAGAGAAGAATTTGGTAACTTTGATTCATTCTGGACATTACTATTTGACTCATTAGCGCAATTAGAGTTTGAAAATGGAACTTCATCCACCATCATCACTCCCAGGTAAACGACAGATGAGTGACAGGACAGGGGCACTTCAGGTGGGCCAATCAGATTTCAGCTGGGGCCAATGCCCCTGTGGCCCCGCCCCTAGAACCGCCCCTGATCTCCAAGCAGCTTGATGTTCCTGTGACTACAGTTGCACATATTATTCTGAAATTTCAGATCCATGGGACTGTGGGGAGGCTGTGGCAGAGTGGTTAGGGGAGTTGTCCTGGAACTGGTAGGTTGCTGGTTCGGTCCCCCATTCCAGCTGTCTCAGTTGTTGTGTCCATGGGCAAGACACTTCACCCCTAATGCCTCTGATGTCCCATCAGTGTATGAATGTGATTAGCACTGATTAGTCTCAATAGATGATTTTTTATATATTAGCTTTGTAGAGACCTAATAGAGTGCTGTGCAAACGTGGAGGAAAATTGTTGACAAATCAAATTGACGGATAAATGGTAACATAAGAGCCCAGATAAACTTCTATAGAGATTAAAGGTGAACTTCGAGCTCAAGGAACATCAGTGTCAGATCACATCATCTGTCGATGTTTGAGTCAAAGTGAACTTAATGGGAGACGAACAAGAAGGGCACCATTGTTGAAAACAAATCATAAAAAGTCTGAYTCGAATTTACCAAACTACATGTTGACAAGCCACAAAAGCTTCTAGGAAATGTCCTCTGGACAGATGAGACAAAAATGGAACTTTTTGTCAAGGCACATCAGCTCTACACTCACCGGCCACTTTATTAGGTACACCTGTCCAACTGCTCGTTAACACTTAATTTTTAATCAGCCAATCATATGG